GACAGCGTATATCTGAGAAGCCAAACTAGGGTGAGGTTTTATTGAAGCAGAAGGGTATGACAGTGTATTGCAGGAGCTGACATCTTCCTATATGTAAAAGTCTACGTCAAGGACCCTGAACCCCTTCTAAGTGTAAAACAAAAGAAAAAAGAAAAGAAGGAGTAGTTGAAGCCAGATGCCAGTAAAAGATAGAGCCAAAGGCAGATAGCAAGAGAGATATTTCAGGAAAGGAAAAGAGACTGAGGTCATGGAAGAGTTTCTTGTAAGATAAAAGACTGCTGCAAAGATCAGACAAATGTGTGTGCATGCATGTAAAGTAGCAGTTTTAAGTAGTGAACTGTACAAAATTCAGAGAAGATTTGGTGGGTAATCAGCATTGATAACATAGAACCTCATTTAGCAAAGAGAAAAATGGAGGAAGTTTGTGTTGTTCCTCTTTTTTCTGTACCAGTGATTAGTGGTATGGCAGAGGGGAACTGAGGAGGTGGATGTAAGGTGGCCGGAAAATTGAAGGTATGTTTAATGGGATGAATTTGAAAGGGCTGACCTAGTAGGAGTTCTTGAGTTGAAGGTAATGACCACCGAATCAGTAGAGGAATAGAAGCCAGCTGGAGAAAGAGGGACAATAAGAGCAGCAGGGTCAAATAAACTGATGGATTGGGGGCTTAAAAAGAGCTGAAAGATGAAGTGGTTAGTGATTTGTGCAGGAATGATTTATGTGCTCACAGAGCAAGGACCAGTGTATTAGACTTGGTATCTAAGAAACAGAATCAAAACCAGGGCTTCGTAAAAACTCACTAGTGGTCTGCTAAAGCTGAGACAGTAGCTGATGCTTTGAGATGAAAGAGGTGACAAGGAAGAAGAGAGAGAGAGGGAGAAAACAGGCAGGCAGTTTCACCTTAAATCAGCAAAGGCTTGATGGCTTCGCTGAAGAACCACAGCAGATCTCTGTAATTAAATTTGCAACCAAGATGCAAAACATTTCCCTGTGTTCTTACTTTGAAATATGTCCCCTACAATCTAAGGGGAGGGGGTTATCCTTTCTGAGCTCCTAAGCAGTGGGCTTACAGTGCTTTGTCACTGGATTCTCGTTACTCACAGTGGTGTGGCAGTGAAATATCACTGAAATAAGTTGTGTTACATCCACTTCTGTTTTACTGAAACAAGGAAAGGATCTGGCCTCATTTTAAATAAATGCAAAAAATGCATAAGGCACGTACTTGTCTGTTGTAAAACTCTTGACATTTGCTCTTCTCCATTTCCTCATTGCCACAGAAAAGTTGTTGCCTAGTCTTATACAACTGTACTGATAATGGTAAACAACAAACTAATAAGGTAAGTTTTTTCTAATACAGCAGGTAGAAACTGGATGTATTGACAAACTTTGAGGGACAGATTGGAACTCCAGTTGTAAAAAAACTACTTCTGTACCAAAGACTGTGTACCAAATGCCACATGATTTTGTAATGAGAGAAAATGTAATCCTGTTTTAAAGTAAAGAATTACAAATCTTCTAGTAATTATATCAGAGTATTTTAAATGACAGCTGATGAATACATTGTTGTTGGTATTTACATACAGCTTAAAGGCAGCATAAAAAAGAAATTAATCTTCTTTTCCTTGGTCTTGAATGAACCCTACACAGGTTCTGCTATTCCTTAAAATAAGTTACTATATCCAGAAACCAACAAGCGCTTTTTAACTGAAGCAAAATTGGATGAACAACTGTGGTGTGAGTGGTTTGGTGGGTAAGGACATAAAGGCTTCAGTTTTAAGAATCCAGTTAACACTAAACAGAAGTCTCAGAATGAACATCGTTTTTGCATAACTAATACATATCATAAAACCTCCACATAGGTTTTGGTAAGATGCACAATAATTATCACTGTAGCTTAAAATGGATAACTTAAGTGTTGAACGCAAATATTTTCTCCTTCGTAAGTACACACTGACTTCTAGTTACCTATGGATATTGTAAGTATATTTACTGGGTAATAGCTGAAACACATTCAGCTGGTAGATAGTTTTTGTGATCTAAAGAACTCAGATGTACCAAACTGCATGTTAATCAACTCCATTTTGAATAAAGCAACTGGAAAGGACCATCTCGGTTATATTTATTACACGCAAATAAAATTACCACATGTGTAAAGAAAGTATAGGCTATTTGTTTAGATCATTAAACCAAAAGAGCTCAAAGAATAACAGTAACTGAGCTTTACAATTCTCTTAATATTAGCCACTCCATTTTACATATGACAGATGTAATGAGACCATATACTTATAAGTTGGGTAGGACCAAACTGCTTGATTTGCAGTAATACAGGTACTAAAATGAATGTCAAATAAGTTTTCCCTTGAAAAACACTGTGATGTTTGTAGATGTATGGCACTTGGTGTCTTCTGATACTTCAAATAACAAATTATGGCCTGAAGACTCATTCCTTCAGAAATGCTAAATATAATTAATCTCAGTAATTAAACTGAAAATTTGCCTAATAAAATTAACAGCTTTAGCCAGACCTACATGAAAATTCATGTAATTTTTCCATTTGAATAGCAGTGGTTTAATTTAAAAGTAATTAACTACATATCGGAGACCCATTCTTTTGATTTTCTTTGAATACAGATTGTTCAAAGAAGTTATAACACATTCTAATGACTGATAACATAGTTTTACCACAACCAAAAAGTAACTAAATAGTTACATTACACTGAATGTGAGCAGAAATGGATTCTAAATTAAAAACCTTTATACGGTTGACAGTTATATTTCAAATTTTTATAAGTGGTGGACTTGGCAGTGCTAGATTAATGGTTGGACTTGATGATCTTAAAGGTCTTTTCCAACCTAAATGATCTTATGATTCTATAAAAAAGTTTTCTTTCTCTAATACTGTGCAGAAATCTGTGAGCACAGCTATGCCCTTTTCTTCTGCTGAAATATAGTTATTGAACAGTCATTTAGTTGAAAATGATCAGATTTAATAATACTGTCTAATTCTCAGCTGCTGTTGATTGCTTTGGAAGAACAAGATTAAAAACTTGCAAGTGTGAAATCTCGCTGTCTGAAAGCAAAAAAAATGGACTCCTCATACGAGGAAAATATGTGTAATGTAGCCAGTTTAACTGATCAATTTAAATATTTAAATGTGTGGCAGATTTATATCCTGTACCTAAAAATATATCCAAACTACACTAAGAGTCAAGCCATTTCTCAGATTGCATACTTTCATGGGCTCTATTCATTCCTCTACTGTAGTCGTAGCTGTGATGTTAATTATCAAGTAAAGGCACGATAATATGAAACCCTTGTTCAAAACCCACACCCTGCACAGGTCCTCCTTTGATCCTGAAACAGTACTGGCATTGGCTTAAGTATTTTGCATTAAAGGCAGAACATTAAAAAACATTAACAGCAAAACAATCAAATGACTGAATTCAGAGCTGAGAGAACATAAGGAAAACCTCTAAACATGCACTTCGTTTGTCCTTTTCTGCCTATCGTTAGCTTACTCAGTTTAAATAACGTTTATTTCAATTGCCTACTTTTACTTGGCTCCTTTTAGAGGAGTGAAAAGTGATGCCCACCAAGTTTTAGGTAGAGCCAGAAAATTACATGTCTGCATGCAAAATTACCTATCAGCCTATCCAAACTGGCCCACTATTTTTGCAGGTAAGGGACTCCGCTGGTGCAGAGAGTGTTCTTTCTGAAAATCTCAAAGTTACAACAAAATACACATTATTTTAAATTTTACGTTTTCACTCAAGTTTCTTGAAAAACCGTAGTCCTCATGATCAGACATATTCATTCATTGTGAAGCGAGTAATAAATCCCCAACTGCTGGCTTGCCTACCTATTCCCACAAGAAAGCCTGCAGGAAGAAGTAAAGAAATCACAGGAAACTTTTCCTGCTAAGACTATTCTGGCTTTTTGCCACTAAGAGAGAACAGGGCATTATTTTGGGGACAGAATTTGAATTATGCTGGACAGGACATGGGCTTACCAGAGCTAGGTGACAGGAAAGGCTTCATGTCTATAAAGGAGATTTGAACTAAGAGAGGAAAAGAGATGATGGAGAGGAGGAAGAAATTATGTACTTTCCTCTGAGTCTTAACCAACATAAATTTTTGTTCTGCTGTCAGAACCTCATCCTCTCCTCATGGGGAGAGATGGGAGATCATGAAGAAGCAAAACAGTGTCGTCCTATATGTTGACATAAGGGTAGACAGAAAAGTGATATATACTCCCGGGTTGCAGTCTTTGCCAATCTATGGTGGTGTGACTGTGACCACCTTGTAACAAATATAATGATGTCTATCACACAGTATTTTTGCTCCATCAAAAACATTTTCTATGTAATTTACACACTTACTGTCTTCCATTGCGAGTCTCAAACACATGTCTAACCCCAGGTGAAGATTCCAAAAGCACCAAAACCCCATTCTAGACAAGATTCAGGTTATTTAAAAATCTGAAACTAACACCTTTAAAAAGATCTGAAGTAATCTCAGTGTGTAGGCCAAGATACTCAGTAGCATTTATCTTTAAGACAGGACGTAATTCTTCCAATAAAATACTTTTTAAAATGGTACCATTAGATGCCTAATCACCTAGGTGCTTTGGAAACAGGATTTGCATAAATCACATAACCAATTTTTTAGATATCACTCTGAGTATTTTGCTATTAAAACAAAATCATTGAAAGCTTCAATTATTTTGCATGTCTTGAATTCTAATGTAATTATAAAGTAAACCGACTTTTCTGCAAGTACTAGAAGCTTAAAATTGAAAATCTTAAATTTTAATTAATAATTTTCAGTAATTGTAAATACAACTTGACCTATATAATTTTTAAAAAAATAATTACAAGGTGTCTCTAGCAATCTGATAGTATTGCTTTGATACCGTTGTTATCATACTGCGGTAACAGCTTTCTGTGTGAGGTAGCTGAAACGTGTTATTGTGTGGCTCGTAACTAAACTTTTCTTGCATTTTATTAAATCTCCCTCCTCTTTAAGTAATCAAAAAGTGATTCTAAATCTTTTTCTTCCACACTTTTTACAAGGTACTTTTTAGCTCCTCCTGGATGTAGGACATTGTAATGTCTGGCGTGAGGAGGCAAGGCACGCAATGTTTTCTGGAGAGCATCTCGCGGGGAACGACTAGGAGAGCCGGGGGACATTCCGCGGGGAGGAGTGGTCAAGGCGTGGAGAGGACTAAGGGGACGAACGGACAAAGAAGCACAGGAAGATGGATGGCAGTGAGCTAGAGATCCCATCGCAGGAGTTTTGGCGGAGCGTGTGAGCCTTAGCAGGGTAAAGCTCCCAAAAGACCGGTTCCCCTCCAGTCTCTGCTGCACCGTCTCCCAACGCCCAAACCAATACTCGGTTGCCCCTGTTCCACTCTCCTGCTGCTATGTCACCTCCAGGGAACGTTCTACGACCCTTGAGAAAGGTGATCAGGCCTCTCGCTTTGAGTACCTCTGTCTCAGGGCGAAGTAAAACAGAATCCTCACAGAACACAAAGCCTTACCTCAACAATATCCGAATTCGTTCGACTCTCATGTGGCTCATTGTACTCGGTATATTTCAGCAACACTTTGTCCATATCAGTGCTGGCGTACTGGAACAGCTTGTTGGTGCTGTTGAAGATGATCAGAGCAATCTCACAGTCACACAGAACACTCAGCTCGTAAGCCTTCTTCATTAACCCAAATTTCCTCTTTGTAAATGTCACCTGGACAAAACGAAAAAAAAGTCTGTCAAAAATCCCCACTCTGGTCTTCGTAGTCCTTCTTCTTTTTTTGGAAATATAATGTGTGACTGCTGTAGTCTTTGAATTGAACATGTTCGATATAAATATAAATATAGTTCAAAAATAGAAAATAAGTGTATGTCTGTATTATATAAGTGAGGAAATATACCTAATTCTCACTGCACAAAACTCGAGGTACACATAAAAAGCATGGGACATTTTCATTACGTAGCACTGTGAAGTGCTGATACTGCACTTTTCTCTGCAACTTTTAAAGTAATGTACTCTTTATACTGCATGCATATTTCCTATCAATATTTTAAAACTGCACTGTGGATTCGCAGCTGCACATAGTTTGAGCATGTGGAGTCAATTCTTATTTTTGATAGTGATTGACTTTGATTCCGTGTCCTCCAAGTTCTACGAGATTTTTAGAGAAAGAAATTATTTCACACAGAATTTAAGCAGTGTGAAACAGATACGTTGTTTGTATAAACACACTGACAATAGTTTTGAAGAAATATTTGGTGTTAAAAATTCAAACACTCATGTGAGAAATGAGAAATATAAAGCACAAATGAATAGTGAACAATAGCTGACCGGCAACAAATACCACCTTTGAAACAAGGTCTTTTCTAAACACAGATGTAGCATACTTTATTTAATTTCAAATTAGATGCTTAGAATTATGAATTGGCATTTTTTAGTACACAGGACTTTGGGTCATATTATGTAGAAAAAAAATAGGGATAGACTTATAAGTTCTCAGTAGGCCAGCTAATGCCCTGACAATGCGCAAAACCTAGGCAGTATGAAAAATATTGTTACTCTGTAGAAAACCATAATTTTCCACAGGGACTGTTTCGACAGCAAAAGACCTTGACATCAAATAATATTTTTTTTTCTTTTCTTTTCTGCACTAGCTTACAAGTTCCAGTAAGACACGTGACTCAGAGTAAGAAACAAACCACCATGAACTGTTTAAGTGAATTGTATGGTTGAATTTTTCTCCTTTTGTTTCTGCATATATGCCATTTCCACCAAGTGTGTACAATGACTGTAATTTTTCTTACATCTAATTTTTCTTTAATAATTTTCAGTTACAAGAATTTTTAAGATAAAAATATGGTTTTGCTAAGCCTTTTATTAATCAAATTTAAGGTAGTCAAGGTATTTGATATGTCAAGGAGAGGCACACAACCAAGTTTACAGGTCTGCCTAATTCCTGCACTTGTTGCCACCATTCCTTAATACCCATAAGCAGTAGCACCTCTGCACTTTAATGCCAGGGCAAGAAAAATTCGTCTGTGCACGGTTCATACGGCTGCTGTTTTATCTCCTCACACTCCTAATGCAAGCTAATGCTAACTGCGACCCCAGACTACCTTAAAATCCCAGCACATCAGGCCATGGAAAATGTGACCTTTAAGTATTGCTAATCCCTATTTGCTAGACCATCTCAGAAAGATGAGGCTCTGAGCCAATACTATGGACATTTATTCCCCCAAATGTATAGCAAATGCTATTCCTCTTATTGTCGTTTCAACCTCTTTAGCCTCTGTCAAAGTACTGTTAAGAAAAGATGAATTGCCGTTAAATACAATTACTCAAGCATTTTAAAAACACATTTTCCACAGCACTGGTCTCACATATACACAACTGATAGTAGTTTTTTTCTAAATTTGTCTGTCTCAATGGCTCGTGATATTTAGAATAAATAACAAGACAGGTAACAAAACCTCATTCAAATTCTGAAAAAACCCTCGTCTTTCAAATACTCCTTTAGTATTTTCTCTGATTACAGAAAATTGCAATGTATGTGTTGAAACATATATAAAAACATGTTTTAGAAAAAGCTAAACAGATAGAAAATAAAATGCACTAACTCAACATATTTTCCTGCATCTAAAACGCCTTTCAATGAACTTTTTGACCACGGTGCTGTAGGTGGAGTGTCTCTCTACAGTGTGGTTTCTGTTGCACAGAAACCTCAGAATTTAGCATGTTACAGCTTCTTACCATCAAAGTACGCTCTGGTACAGAAATATCTCTAAAGCCACTGTTTGTGTTTACTGTTAGGTGCTCCTGAACATTTAGAATAACCACACAGCTGTGCTGCATAGCACATACTTATTTCATAATACTTAGCACCAGAATGACGCTGGTTAGAGTTCCTTTTTGTGGAAAGGGAAAAAACGAACTTCTAATCAACTAGATTTTTTTTTCTTTCTATAAAATATAATCTTAATTTCTCTGAATTCTATTTGTTTTTAACTCTTTGATCTTTCTAATATTTTCTAAATCTATCAGACAATGCTTTCTGTCACTGCTGATAAATGCACTAAAACCAATTGTATCTACTACGGTTTCTATGGTGATCTGGAATATTACTTTTCTTTTTAAATATGCCATTCATTGTGTCTTATCTTTATGTATGTACATTACATATATAATATGTAAATTTATCATGCTTTCACAACCGTTTATAGTAGGGGTGAACTTGTATTTTCAAATATATAGTGAAAGGTCAGTAACTTCAGAAAAGATTAAGAATACTCTTCAAGCCATTTAAAAAGAAATTATCTTTTTGCATGAATATATTTCTCTTCCATACGCTAAAATGATTTTGTGAGCAATGTAAGTGGACAGTATTTTTCTTACTTAACTTCTTTGGGTTTCAATTTATTAACCACTTGTTATGTTAACTATACTCACCCAAACTAAAAGTTTCTAATAAATATTGCCTAAGGTAACAGATAATATTATAGTGTTGCAGAAATTTTGCTGAGTGGTAAGAAGTGGCATAAATTATTTAAAACATTCGGTCCCTTTTGTCTAGGTGGAAGGCACTGTGTGCAACCTACGCTTTGGAAGCTTTGACTACGCTTGAAATGACTCAGTGCTGAGAATGAACAAGACACACACAATCCACATGAACAGAAGCTTTTGAGTAGCTGTAGCTGCAATACCAAAAAATCCAGGTGGTCACATAGTCTTACGTCACATACTGCATTCAAAGTTCTCAGTCATGACAGCACCATATAGCAATGAACAATGTCATTCAGTCATTTGACATAAAGAACACTAGCGAGACTGAAAGAAAACACACATACAGTGAGACAATTCATCAGCATATGTAAAAAAGGACATCCAAAAAATTGCGTGCATTTCCATATCTGTTTTAATATTTAACTTTTTTCAGCAGCAAGAATCAAATCACTGCATTTTCTTTTGTGATGATACTAGTCAAGATATGATTAATCATCCCTGCTCTCTAAACCACTGCTAATTTGTAGGTGTGCTTCAGTTCACGAATTTTCTCCTTTTTAGGAGAACGATAGGCAATTTAGGAAGTCCCCCTCTTTTTGAGGTATAATATTTTATAATGACAGTGTAAGAATTGTGGAGAATGAAAGTGGAGTGGAGGGAGGAAGTGGAACCGATAAGAGGCCAGCATGCAACCGTCTTCAAAACATTTTTAAGCTTGTGTACATAAAACATAAAGTTTAAAACACCAACACAGTTTCTAAATACTGTTATGAGGTGCTTTTACGCACGGTTTCATATGTATTGCAAAAAGAGCAGTGTGTGGAGAGTACCACGTTTACCTCTGAAATACACCAAAAAATAACCCAATACTATCCCTCCATATTAACTGAAAATCCACTAGTTTATTACTATTTGTCTTAGTGCTATGGTTATTTTACTTATTTAAAGGTATTTTTAAAACTTTAAGAGCCCTACTGCCCTCATAACAGGAATGGTGGTACTGAGAATGTAGGTTACTAAAGCCTGCAGCATTTTTGTATATGAAGAAGCATAAATGCTGATGACTTTGTGGGCTGCGAGCAAATCAGATGCTGCTTTCAAGTACTGGGAAAACTAAAAAAAAAAAAACCCAACAGTGAAGTAGCCAGGTTCCAACTTCCTTGATATAAATCAATGTGAGGTTTTTATGCATTTTGGATGAAATTCTGACTAAAGGTGAAATGCACTGTATGTGCTAAAAGAAAGGCATTGACAAAAGAGGATTGTTAAAAGAAGGTTTTTCCACTTCAACTCCAGCTCTTCTTCAATACCATGGAAACATCTCTCAAGTAGCTCTTCATGCATAAAGCTGCAAGAGTCTTCTGAGAGATGGTTCATGGACTAGTCATTGCAATGCCTGTAAGTGGGGCTGTAGACAGCTCGAATTCAAGTGTGCATATCACACACTGTGATATGCTCCATTTAGAGGGTAGTTCTTAAATTAAATTCTCAAACTAAAAAAACTAGGAGGTAATGCTGCTCGGTTGTGAGAATAAATTCTTTCACGTGCTGAAATTGAAATTTAAATGTGTGTCTGTGTAAATGGTCATAATGTCCACTGGTAATAGTCTTTATTTAGCTAAAGCTGTAACAGCAATTATATGCATCTTATAGATGTTAATACATCAACTGAGGAACAGAAACAGCCATAAATACTCCTGTTTAACAAATACAGCCTTCAGGATACGTAATTTATCTTTGTTGCAATGTAGTCTTTGTTTCTTTCTGTATTGTTTGGTGGGAGTTTGTTTGGGATTATTGTATTTTATTTCATCTTTGTTTTTAATTCAGGTCCTTCTGGCGCTTTTTCTGAAATCTCACACGCTCGAAGAGGCTGAGCCATAACAGCACTCTGTATTTGTCACTAACTGTCACGGCATATGTGCTAACATTTTAAGTTTTGAAAGTAACAGTCCTGTGATCTTTCACGCAGTTCAGTCCAGCCGTGGCAAATTACGAGTGTTCCCCCTAATTCTTCCTATCCTAATTATAAAGACATATAGCTGCTGACATAGGAAAATGAAAGAAACAGAGAAATTGCACATAATCCTTGCCGTATATATTTCCTGCCACTAAACATGTATGAGTGACCAGTGAAAATCAGGGGCCACTGATGCACAGAAGTGTCTGATACAGACACTGCCTGGTCAAGAAGAAATACTGTTCTGTTTGTT